ATGCTACTACACATCTTGTTGGAGTATTTGAACATGTAGAGAATACAGTTGCTAAATTTCATTTGAATACTCGCTAATTTCTATTTTTGTAGCTTTTCAATATAAAAAACAACACCGACAATAGTAAAAAGAAGAATGTTATTTAAGATGTCATACTAAATATGACCTTTCCTAGGCTAGTATTTGTCATGAGCTCATAGACTAGGAATTTTTCTACTCCATTAATGTAGTATTCCAAAAACTTGGTTAGGTAACAATGTTGTACATGTGCTATTAATTTGACTTGATTCTCGAACTCAGTATATCCTTGGGTGAAGTCACGTCTTGCTTCTTCCCTGTTATTTCTACTCCCCATTCTCTAATACACCATACATATATTATATATCATTTGGGTATTAATTTTGTCGTCTTAGTTATTGTAAATATGCATTATCATGCTCTGTTGGAAAGAAATTATAACCTTATAAACATTGCTAAAGTCATCACGCCCTATGTTTTTATCCATACACATTTTCTTATAAGAAAGGGCATGATGGTTTAGCAATGGTTATAAGGTTATTTTTTTCTTTTCAACGAGCATGAAAATGCATATTTATAGTAACTCAGACAACATAATTAATACCCAAATGAAACATAATATTTGCAGGGCGTACTAGAGAATGGAGTAGAAATAGAAGTGAAAAAGAAAGACATGACTTCACGCCATGAATTTACTGAGTTCGAGAATGAAGTCAATTTAATAGCAAAGCTACAACATCGTAACCTAACCAAGTTGATGGGATACTGCATTAATGGAGTAGAAAAATTCCTAGTCTATGAGTTCAGATCGAATAATAGCCTATACAAGGTCATATTTTGAATAAAATCTTATATAACACTCATCCTTTTTACTATGCTTTGCGTTATTTCATATCAAAAAGGCAAAAATTTGGGAGTTTTCAACTGATATTAACTATTTTTTGCACATGTCTAGATCCTACAAGAAGAGGTGCAATAATATGGCCAATACATATAAGAGTGGTAAACTATTTAAGAAAGCTTGAAGAATGATGTAACACGTCAAAGTTACTGGTCAATCTAAGCAGGCCGACGAGTTAGTGTTAGAGTCATACTAGGACTAGACTACTAACCCTATGTTATGTACGACTAAGCTATTAAACAATATTGGAGTTGACTATGTTAGGGTATTTGACTTGTACGAAAATACTACCCATGTAAATATTTGTGTTGTAGTAGGATTCCTATTATAACTAGAATAAAACTCTGGTGCTATATAACTTCTCCAAAGACCTTCCCTTGTGTGTTCATAGGGTACAACAACTTACACAAAGGATATATAGGTTATCATCCCTGTACAATGAGGGTTCACATATTAAGACATGTTGTGTTTGATGAAAACACATTACACTATGTGTCTCGAAAGCAATCTCAAACTAACATTGATGTCTCAGCTGACCTTGCTACTTTTGTTGAATCTTTCTCTAAACTGCTGGCACATGATAATTTTGATTCAAAGGAAGTACATGTTCCTAGCCCACACATTAATATTCATAATGTTGCTACACCTCATGTACTCATTAATGATGAGAAGTATTATTAACCTCTCAGGAACAGAATCAGATACTAAGGGCCCGTTTGGATGGGCTTAATAAAAGTAGCTTTAAAAAAGTACTTTTGAAAGTGCTGAAACTTACTTTTAAAATAAGCAGTTATGTGTTTGGATAAAAGTGCTGAAGTTGTTATGCCAAACGTGAAAAGAGGAAAATGGAAGAAAGAGATGTTAGGGTTATGTGGGTTATTTGGATATTGTATAAAAATATTAAGGGCAAAAAGATAAAAATGTGGTCAACTTAAAACAGCTTATAAGCTAAAAAAAAAAGCACCCCTACCCCAGCTTTTAACTTTTGGCTTGAAATAAGCTTTTTTAAACTTAAAATAAGTTATTTTGAGTATTGCCAAACAACTAAATAAGTCAAGAACCAGCTTTTAAGTCAGTTTGACCAGCTTTTAAGCTGAGCCAAACAGGCTCTAAGGAACAAGTTGAAGCTGGTGACCCATATAGTAGTGTTGAAACTCCAATTGCAGATTCTGAATCTGTTAGAAGCAGAGAGGAACGAGTTTCTCTTCCAGTTCCAACCAATGATCATCATCATATAACAACTTTAGTTGATGTACCAATTGACCATCAACCTGACATTGCTACACTCCAGTCAACTACATTGGTTGATGTACCGGTTCAGGTACTTCCTACATCACAAGGGCATCATATGATCACAAGGCACAAGGCGAAGGAAAATCACCTGCCACTTGTTGCTCGCAGTAGAATAAAAATTGTGGGAGAGCCAAATACTACTAAGGAAGCACTAACATCGCCTCATTGGCTTGCAGCAATGCACGAAGATATTGATACTTTACATACTAACAAAATATCGATTTTGGTGCCCAAATCTCTTGGTATAAACTTTGTTGGGTCAAATGGGTGTCTAAGACAAAATTAAAAGTTTTGATGGGATAATAGATAGATACAAGGTCAGACTTATGGTAGGGGATTCTCGCAGTTTGAATTGACAGATTTTGATGAAACATATAGTCTTGTAGTTAAAGCTACAAATATTAGGGTGGTTCGACCCATTGCTGTCAGTTCAATTCGGGAAGTTAGATAGTTAGATGTCAAAAATGTCTTTCTCCATGGCTTCTTACAAAAGGAGGTGTACATGAGTCAATCTCTTGATTTTATTGATCACAGTATCCTCAGCATGTATGTCTACTTAAAAAGTCATCGTATGGTCTTAAACAAGCACCAAGATCCTGGTTTGATATGCCTAGCATGCATCTCTTACACCTTGGTTTCATTTGTAATAAGGCTGATCCTTCCTTATTTACTTTGCAAACTCAAAAAGGAAAAATATTTCTCTTGTTATATGTAGATAATATTATTGTCAAAGGAAGCAATCCCCCTCATGTCTCAGAGTTGGTTCTACAACTTAGGAAGGAGTTAGCTATGAAAGATCTTGGCCGTTACACTACTTCCTAAGAATTGAGGTGAACTATTTCGAAGGTGGAATTAACTTAAATCGAAGCAAGTATGTTGTTGAGCTGTTGTCCAAGATAGAGATGACTTTGGCAAAGGTTGTATCCACTTCTTTGGGTAAAAACATGGTTTGGATGAAGTTGTGGTAAGTCTTGTAGATGCATTCTTTTACAGAATGATAGTAGTGAGACTTCAATATTTGATCCTCACAAGACTTGATATCACTCATCATGTGAATTTAGCAGGCTAGTTTATAAAAAGCCCAAACATTCAACATCTTCAAGGGGTAAAAAGAATTCTCAGGTACATCAAATGTACTATACACTTTAGACTCAGAATTATTTCACAATCACCATGTAGGTTGTATGGCTACTCTGATGCTGATTTGGGAGGATGTACCACAACTAGGAGATCAACTACAAGCTATAGCATCAACCTAGGTGCAAATTTTAATTCTTGGACCTCCAAGAAACAGAACACAGTAACCCGATCTAGTGCTGAAACAGAGTATAGAGAACTAGCTTCCACTGCCACAGCTTTGACTTGGACTTTGTATCTTCTTTATGACCTTGGAATGTTCTTTTGATCTGTTCCTACGTTGTATTGTGATAATATGAGTGTCCTGTACAGGACAGTTAATCCAGTTATGTATGCTAGAATAAAACATGTTTAAATGGACTGTCATTTTGTTCATGAGAAAGTGGCCAGGGGATGACTTCTTACTCAGTTTGTGAAGTGTAAGGATCAAAAGCTGATATGAATACCAAATCCTTAACACAATAGATTTTCTCTGATTTTGTAGCTAGTTAGGAGTTATAGTTCCTCCACTCATTAGCATGAGGGATGTTTTGAAGGAAACTGCACGACTGATGGAACACGTCGAAGGAACAGATCCATCAAAGCAGGCTTACAAGTTAGAGTTAATTCATACTAGGACAAGACAACTAAATCCTAAGTAATGTACGACTAAGCTACTGAATATTATTGGAGTCGACAAGGATAGGGTATTTGACTTGTAATATAATACTACCTATGTAATTATTTGTGTTGCAGTAGGATTCCTAGTATAACTACAATAGGACTCTTCTCCTATATAAGGAGCTTGTAACTGAACGTTATAGTTTTCAATACATCTTTGATTTTTCCATGCTTTTGTGAGATTTCTACTAAACTGAGCAGTTGGTAGCAATTTTTCAGCACTGCAGAAAGTTTAAAACAGAGAGCACAAAATATTGAGCAGCTGGCTGCAATGTTGCAACAGTGCTAAAAAAAATTAAAATTGAGCTAGCATAAAAAAATTGAGCAGCTTCCTGCATGTTTTCCGCAGTCCAGAAATTTTACAAAATAAAATTTATACAGCTTAAATTTAAAAACAGAGCCAGCATAAAAAAATTATGGTTGAAAAAAATTTTCTACAGTCCCTCACCTTACCTCGTCTCCTCGCCAAACTATTCTTTGAAAATTCACTAATTTTGCATACAACTATAGACAACATTGCTCAAACAACTCAAGTTCCTATATAAATATAAATGAATTTTACTCGTCTTCACAAAATACCACTTTCAATAAGAAAACTCTCAATATAAAAATTACTCCCGGCTATTGAAAATATGGTAGAAAATAAAATGTTGTCTTCTAGGTTGTTGTCAAACCGAAGTAGACTGCAACTATTATAGAGTGACATGTCAATGCTAACAAAAATATGCAAGCCTAAGACAACAGGGCCATTGAATGTTATATATATATATATATATATATATATATATATATATACATATACATATACATATATGAATATATAAAGCACCAATTGTAAGCAATAAGAAGTCACCGACTCTAACGAAAGGAAGAGAACAAGATTCATTTTCGATATTGTATCTTATTCTACTGCACAATTAACACAATAGAAACAAGTCTGTTATTCCATCTTTCATAAAGTTTACTTGTGTGACGGGGAATATTTCTTTTTCACATCGAAAGACCCATATTTTGTTATTTAATTATACATTCATTACGTTGTTATGTTTCAACAAAATAAATTAAAAAGTCAGATATATTGTTACTAACCTGGTCAATTGAAAAGACGGTGGTCATTCAGTTAAGGAGGACGATGTTGTAGGTGGGACATATGATTGTTGAGCAGTGAAGAATTCTTTCATTTTCATTATTTCTTTAATCTCATCTTCTATGTGTAGACAAGCGATCATTTAAGGAATTGTTTTCTCCGTTCAAGGATTTTATATCCTTTCGAGTTGAACGTAGTACATACAACAATTCAGACTTTGATGAAGTTCCACCTTTCAAATCTTTTGCGTTTACTCCACCCCCAAATCCAAATACATGGCTACGAGTTTGAGGTCCACAAAAATTTTCAACAAGCTCTACCGTAGGTAGAGATGATCTTCTTGAACCATATCTTAGAGTTGAGCCTACACATATCAAATAACATTTTATATCATAACACATGAAGATTATTTCAAGTAATTTAAATATTCAATTAATTAAATGCACATGTTTTTCAATTGCATTAGGTTAAACAAGCTTGTTATCTTTTTTACGAGTCTCAAAGAAAATAGTTTTCAAATCGGTGGAATACCATCTTTCCCGACATTTACATCAAAGCCAAACATGTCAAATAACACAAACCTGGAAAAGATCTTTAAGCTCAAAAACTTTAAAACACAATAGATTTTCAATAAATACAATACATTTGAAAAAGATCTTACTTGTTTAAACTTCTTGGGTGTATTTCTTTACTTGATTAGTAGATGTAGGAGATGAAGTACTAATTTGAACGTTCTCTTTCTCAAAAGTCATGAAGTTCTTATGCGTCCTTCGTATTCCTTGACTAGTGGACACGGTAGAGATTTTAAGTCCTTGTTCATGTTCCTTCCCTTTAGAACCTGAAAAAAACAAATCATATTTTATACGTTGACTAATGTATCACAAGACAAGAAGTACCAAAAATGTGTACAAGGAGTTTCTAAAGCTAATTTTGTTTCACAAGTTCTCTTTTGTGAAAATAATGTATTCAACATTAGTTTCTTAAGCTGTTTTTGGCCTGGTATTTACCTTCTTATCATTATAGGTTCGTGCATCACGTATTATGCCTATATTCTGCATCAAATAGAATGCTGGAAAAAACTATTTTCCTCACCTTCTCCTCCATGATAAAACACAGAATACAGAATACTTGAAAAAATATTTTCCTTTAAAACAATTAAAATTTTTGCTTATGGTCTGAAATAAAAGAAAACAAAATATCTTACTTGTTTCAGTTTCTTTGATGTGCTTCTTAAATAGATCACTTGATTGAGAAAATATACTCTTAGATGGTAATTTCATTTCTCATCCAAAGATTTAAGCCCTCGTCCTTGTCCCTTTTCAATAGCACTAGGCGTGATAAACGTATATTCTATAGTATTCGTCATATTAGAATCGACTTCATTTTCAATCCTCAATGGTTTCATCTTGAACCTGCAAAAGAGCAAGAAAGTTAAAAATTATACCTAAAAATGATTAATAATGTACTAAAAAGGAAATTTTTCCATCATAACATTTATGAATGAATATACTAACTCATAAGAGATATTAATTAATCTCATTAGTTCTTTTTCTTTTCTTTTGGAAGAACTTCCTAACTCTACAATATCATCATCCATTTGTTCCACAATTTTATAGGAATCATGAGATTGGATCTTCCTCACTACATGCCAGTCTTTGTTGCAAGTATCATCAACAAAAAATACTAGAGATTTGATCCACTAAAACAAATGGGTAATTTGTTTCTGAAAATCTACATGGATTAACACTCACAAAATCAAACTCACTCTTTTTAACTTCTTTTATTTCTTTATACACATCAGACAAATTACATCAAAAAAAAGTTACTCTTTTATCCATGACAAATTGCAACTCAATCGCATCAGCTAAAACTCCATAGTAATCAAGGTTTTCACTATCTTCATCTTTCTCACCCAATACAACACTACCACTATTTTGAGTACTTAACTTTTTATCAATCATGATGCATGGAATATGGCAAGGGCATGATTTGCCCAGATTCATAACACATACAAATGTGGTACTGATACCAAAGAAGAATGTGGTGGATAATTTTGGGGACGTAAGATTTATGAGCCTGAATACTTTTTCTAATTAAATTATATCGGTTGATACATGAAAGAGTTTAATTGGTGTTACCTACTTTGATTTCTAAAAATAGGCAGGCATTGTTAAAGGGAGAAGTATGACTTAAAATGTACTTTTGGCTCAAGTAATAATAAGGGACATCAACAAGAGAAAGAGTTTGCACAAAAGCATATGATAGAGTCTACAGGAAATATTTTATCCAGGTCTTTAGAATATTTAGATTCTCTGAAAGAATAAATTGACATAACAGTAAGGCTAATAAGGAATAATTATAACTCAGTTCTAATGAATGGAAAAGTCTTTGGCTTATTTCAATCTTCTAGAGGCTTGAAAGAGGGTGACCCCTTATCACCTACCCTATTTATAATAGCAATTGAAGTGTTGACCAGGATTGTTCATTTGAACATAGTGACTTTAAGGTTTTTGGAATGCCTAAATGGAGTTCGCAAAAAAACCACTTATCATATGTTGATGACAGTATTCTTTTCTTGATCAGGACAACACAAGTTAATGACGATGAGGATGATTATGCTAAAAATATATGAGGGGGTGTCTGGACAAATGCTATACATAGACAAAAGCATTTGTTATCGACATAATAAAGTCCTTGTAGTACTGTGTCATCAAATAAAGAGGATAACAGGGGTCAAGCAAGGTAATTCTCCTTTTACTTATCTATATTTTCCTATTTTCTATGAAGGAAAAATAAAGGTCATTTGTTGTTCTGATTAAAAAGGTGGCTAACATAATGGCTATGTGGAAGAATAGATTACTATCTTATGGGGGAAGGTATATATTTTAATAGAACATGTTTTGCAATCTATGCCCATGGATTTACTATCAGCCCTGAATTCCCTATATAGTGTAATAAACCAATTACATAAGCTATTTGCTAAATTTTTCTGGGGAAATGCTACTAGATCTAAGAACAAGAACTGGGTTTCATGGGGAAGCATATGTTATCCCAAGGAAAAAAGGGGTCTAGGTTTCAGGTCTTTGCATAATGTATCGAAGGCTTTGTTTGCAAAGCTTTGCTGGAATTTTAGGACATTAATTTGTTCTTTGTGGAGCGGATATATGTGGTACAAGTATTGCAATAAATTGCATCCAACTATAACTACTGGTGTGGGTGCATTACATGTCTGGAGAAAGATGTTAATTATAAGGGAGGAAGTAAAGCACAATATATGGTGGCAGATAAACGTAGAAAATTCTAGGTTTTTATTTGATAATTGGACAAAATTGGGAGCCCTCTTATATTTTGAGAGTGATATGGCCATTGAGTAAGATGTAGAAGTGAGGGAGATTACTACCATTGGTGGATGGAAAGAACAGAAATTGGCCACAAAACTCTCAGCAGAAATGGTAGAGTATATTATAGAGAGTAAGAAACCACCTTTTAATGAACATCAGGCTGATTTTCCTGGTTGGATGAGCAGTAAGCAGGGGAATTTCACTATTTTTTTATAAAGGTAACTTTATGTTCACAAGAAAATGGTTAGTTACAATCCTCGCATGTTATTGCAAAAACAAACAAACAAGGGCTAAGGTTTTACAATTTGTCCTACGAAGTAAACTAATAAATCTATATCCCCCTCCATATCTTGTTTACACCAAAAATAAAGAAGGCTAATGTAGGTAATTCTAATCCTCTGGATGTTGTTGATTTTTCCTTCAAAATACGTCCTTCCATAAGGTCCATCAAATGCAGGTTGGAATTAGTTTCCACCTGTCTCCTCTAGTATTTATTTTTTCAATTGTCTCCCATCTCCTCAGTAGATTAAAAGTGTATGTAGTAATTATTCAGCTTACTCCAAGTTTACATAAAAACATGTTCAACAGATTTACAGTTGTTTTGCAATGTAGGAAAAGGTGATTGTTTACCTCTACCTCCTTGTAACAAAGAAAACACCTTAAGCAAATTTGCAAGCCCTCTTCTCTGTAGTGCTTCGTGAGTTAAGCAAGCTCCCTGATCACCTACCCCATAAAATAGGACACCTTCAAGGGGATTTTAATTTCTAGATTATATTCCAAGGACAAATCGTAGTGGAGGAGAAGTTGATGTTTTTCTAGTAGCGTAAAACTTCACAGAGAATACTCTTTTACTATACAACTTCCATAGAAGTTTGCCTAGATTTACCGAGACACCGTGAAAAAGGTCAAAGACGTAGAAGACTTGTTGTTTTGTCTACCTTCTAGTCATTTAAATCTCTTCAAAGATGAAATTCCACCCTTGTGGGCTCCATATCTAGTAACAGTCTCATTTATCTTGAGACTGAGGTAGTAGAGGTCTGTGAAGGTGGTCTTTATGCTTTCATTACATATCTACTGCTCATTCAAAAAAGATCTTTATACCGTTCCTCACCTTATAGTAAATGTTTATATTGAATTGGGACTAGAGTCTTTGAATTATTTTCGATACACTGCATCAAAAAAATACTTTCCACTTCTTCCGTTGTCCATTGGTTTAGGAGTCCATATTTCTGTGTGATGAATCTCTTCGATAAGGTCATGTCTTCTATTCAGAATTTCCATGACCACTTTCTCAGTAAACAACGAATGTGGAGGTTGAGTTTCTTGATTCCTAAACTTCCTTGTCTCATGTTAAGATAAGACCATCCCACTTCACTAGATTGTAGCCTTTATTTCCTTTGTTCCCATACAACATGAAGCTCCTTCTCATTTGGTTGATATTTTTTTCCAATGCTCTTTGGGATGGAAAACAAACTCATCATATGGGTTGGCAGTTAATCCATGAGTGATTTTATGTGTGTCAATCTGCCTCCCAAGAATAAATATTGTCTTTTCCATATTGATAGCCGCTTGTTACATCTCTCTAATATTGTTCTCTATACATTGAGTTCCTTATTTTTAGCTCCCAATGGCATGCCTAGATAATTGGTGAGTAGGGAAGCAATACTGAAACCGAGATTCATTGCCAAAAACTATATATTTAGGAATTCATTGATTTGCTAGAGGTAGCTCCCATGCCAATTTACATTGAGTCCTGAGATGCCTTCAAAAATGGTTAGAATAGCCTTGTTTTGTCTAATTTTTGACACGTCTGCTTCACATAGTATAAGTGAGTCCATCGGCATACAGTTGTTCAAAATTTATCATGCCATTTCCTCAACTTATATGAGCTGAAAAACCTGTCAACCAACCATTTTTAGCCATAAATAGTAAGAAAAGGAATTGTGAGGGGGTCACCTTGCCTAAGACCCCTCTTGATTGAGAGAAACCTACAACGTCACCATTTAACATTAGGGAGAAACTCACATATGATATGCAAAAGCTAATTCAATATAGCGATTTTTAACAAAATCTCGTATCTTTAAGGATCTTAAGATGGTAGATCAAGTTGACATGATCAAAAAACTTGTCGCTTCACTCTTGAATCTACCAGTTAATTTTCCACAAGTGATGCATCCATTATTTGTCTCCCTTTCAAAGAGGTCATTGATTCTCATCCACCAGTTTCCCATGATTAACTTAATTCTATGATTATAAATTTTGAGATGAGCTTGTAAGTCCCTTCTATTAATATTATATGTCTGAGGCCTTTTAATTGTTTGGCATTTGCCTTTTTTGTAATTAAGGATATGAAGGTGGCAGTCATAAGCTTCTCAAACAATCCCTTCTAGTTGAATTTGTAGATGGTCTGCATCAAATCTACCTTTATAGTATCCCAGAAAACTTAAAAAAATCTCATGGTGAAACCATCAGAACTCGGCGCTTTTTCCTTTATTATAACTCTTGATGATGTGTAGTACTTCTAATTCTCAAAAGGGTCTTGGTTGCTATTCATACTCTTAATTTGTGATTCTGGGACAACCTTGTAAATTAAAAGTAGGCCTCCAAGGTTCAGCTTCTAAGTTCAAATTTTTCGAGAAATCTATCATATGTTCAGCTTCTAAGTTCAATTTTTTCGAGAAATCTATCATATATTCTTTATTACTGTAGATTACCAAGTTTCTTCACCATTCACTATCAGTCTATTATTGGTGTTGAATCTCTTGTGTTGTTGCCATTCTTTGGAAGAAATTTGTGTTGTTCTCACCTTTTTTTAGTCATAGTACTCTTGATTTGTGTTCCATATGGATCCATCTTGTCTAGCAAAATATTTTAGCTCAACTCTTATTATTGCTACAATCATTACTTCATCTTTGGTCACGTTTCTACTTTCCTAAATTAAGTCAATGACAACAAATTCTTCAAGTAAAGTTTTCTTCTTGCTAGTTAATTCTCCAAAAGCAGTTTTACTCCACTCTTTGAGCTTTGAAATTTTTAACTTGTTATTGAACCTGAAG